TAGGTTGGAGGCTGGCAGCTGTGAGGCAGAGAAAGGACCACGCTGCCCTCCATCTCTCAGTGACAAGAAGGGGAGCTCTGAGAATGTGGGATGGAAGTAGCCCTGACCACACATAGGACACCAGGTACTCACGTGAGCCTGGGGCTCCGGGCGGCAAACCTTATCCGTCTCCCTGATGCTCAAGTGGGAAGGGCTGCCACAGTGGCTGCTCCACATGGACATAAGGGCCCACTTGATTGTGGACCCTGGTTTAAGTGCTCTGCCTTGGGACACAGGTAGGGGTCACCACTCTGCCCTACGTACTAGGGGCCACATAGTCCTGGCACAGCCTCCCAGCTTGGTCTGCCCCGAAGCCTGGGTTCTCTGAACACAGGGAAAGTGCCTCAGCCCAGGGGAAGCTGACAGCTCAGAAAGGCTCGCCAAGCCCCTCCTCCCAACACAAAGGCAGGGTTGCTTGGATTGCTATAATTATCAGGAACTTCAAGGGTAATTATGTCCGTTTACAGTATGCCTAAGAGGGCCGCATGCCTCCAGGAATAGCAGGCAGTGGGATGCAGGAGCACCAAGCATGTGCCTCCAGGGCGGCTCTGCATCTGCAGAAAGGGTAGGACGGTGACTAGAGGAGACCTAGCCAGCAGTGCTGCCAGCCGAGCAGTCCCCTCGTGGGCAGGAAAAGCTCCAGGAAGTCCCAGCCTATGGAAGAATACAAGCTAGGGTTCGCAAACACAGTAAGAAAAATCCAGATGCCGCCTTCACAGCCCCTCAACAAGTCCTGTCAGCTTAGGACCAGGCCTGCTTCCGGGTTCAGTGAACAAGCTCTCTAGGAGGACCCTTCCACATCCTGCAGCAGGAGGCTCCTGAGCAGGTGACATGCAAGACCGAGGGCTCATGGACTCAGCATAATAGCCCCTGCCTGAGCCCTGTCAACCAGCCCCTGAGCCTGAGACTGGGTGTGGACCACTGTGGAAGGCCTAGGACCCAGGTACCACCCCTCGAAGGCACACAGGTGATGACCGCCAGAAGCTGTCACCAACCACATGTGCACCTAAGTCCTCATCCCCTCACTCACAAGTGCCGGTGCCTGCAATACCAACCAAGGACGTGTCCCTTGCTGCACTCTGGCCAGACGTCCCATGCCATGTCTCCCAGCTGCGCTTGTCACACTGCCCCGTCTGCAGCCTGAGCTGCCACACCCTCAGTCCTTATCATCCAAGACCCCCTCTCTAGGACACCCAGGGAGGAAGCTCCTCACAAGGCAGAGAGCCTGCCTGAAGCGGCCCTAAGTCTCCTGAGCCTCTGTTTCACCCTCGCCCCCACAGACTCCCAGGCCAGGGCCCATGTCTCCACCTTTGATTCCATACAAACAAGAACCCATGGCCAGAGAGTGAGCTCCCCGGTGTGAGAAGGCACAGGCCTGATCCAAAGGGCCAGCCTGAGAGGGAGCTCAGCTCGCACGAGCTGGCACCAGCTTGCAGAGGGGTGCAAGCGAGTGATGTGAGCACTCACCTTCCTCTCAACCAGCAAGGCAAGTAAGGGGGCAAAATCAGGGACTGAAGACAAGCTGGTGTTTAGGAAGAAAAATCCCACTCAGGAAAGGAGCCATGCATGGGATTCCCAAGGGTCCCTCCAATGCCCTAAGAGGGCAGGGGACAGATGGCCATTCTATGGGGCCTGCTGGGGAGTGGCCCCAGGTCCCAGGGCCCCAAGGCTTTGTATGCCAGCCTTCGCAAGGGGCTGGGGAAGGCACAGGGAGAAACCTCTGTGCCAGGAGGAGGTAGGGTCACCCCACTGGACAGTCACACGGGCCAAGGTGGGTCTTTTGCCAACCACATCCCCGAGCTGACCTCCCCTCTCAGGCTCCTCCACTTCCCTGTGGGACCTTGCTCTGGGCAACCCGGCCTCCACACTGCAGCAGAGGGAGTGGTCAGTGTAACACCAACCGAACGGGGGCTCTCCCCGTCCCTTGGCTCAGAATCCCAATGTGACTCCTCACTGGGCCCAGACAGGCCTAATTCTGGAGCCAGGCACACGGGGGGTGTGCGTGTGCACGCATTCATGTGCATTCCCTGCAGCCGACCTTCTGCCTGTCACTCCCGTGCTTTTTCTAGTGCACACTGCACTCTCTTGCTCCTCTTCCACACTGTGCACACCTGCTCCCCAGGCCCAGGCTCAACCCTGATCCACCCACTGAGCCCTGATTTTTGACTCCCAAAAATCTGACATAGGCTTTATAACCTAACCCAGATGCCTGGGCCCTGCCATGGTAGCAGGAGCAGGAGCAACATGGCTGCTGTCCCCAAGTGACCCAGTGGGCCATGCAGTACGTTGAATCTCTGTAGGTGTCATCCCAGTTATCCTCACACCCTTCCAGAACACAGGCTGGGCTGGAGAAAGCGACTTATCCAAGACCACAAGGCCAGCTGGGGCCCAGATTCAGTCTATCCTTCATCTGGTTCCCTCTAGGATCTTTTACCTCTGAAAAAGGCCCTTAGTAGCAGCTTCCCAGCCCCCAAACCATCACTTCTAATTCACTGTTCAAGGACATCAGATGTGGCTATCAACCTGCTGTCTTGCTCCACTGGCTAGGGCTTCTTGCATGGAACACTATTCTCCTGGCACCTACAGTGTCCAACAAACACCTTCTGGAATGAGGCCAATTTCCTCCCAGAACCAACCCTCACCTGGGATTCTGGACCCACACAAGGAAGGAATATAGACCACCCCAGACTCAAGGAAGCAAGGCTGCTGGCATGCTAAGCAGGCCTGCCCACGCGGGGGACCTGGGAGCTATCCTCCTGTACCACACCATCTGGTGAGTGTCAGACACCCAGGGAATGAAGCCTCCACACCCTTATAGGTCTGCCAGGCCTAGCACCCAGCTCCTCCCTAGAGTACAGTCACTCTCTCAGGACTGGTCACCCTCGTGGCCAGGGCCTCAGGTGCTTGCCAGATCCAGCACCTCTGGCCATGGACACAAGGGTCAAGTATGAGTGCTAGAAGTTGGGAGCCTGAGAGGTAGAGGCCGGCTGATGCTGGCCTGAGCTGTGTGATCTCAGCATGTCTGTGCAGCCCTAAAGGCCTCTGCTATGATCGGTTATGGTGTGTGCCCACCCCTCAAAGGTTCCTGTGATTGGATGCTTGGCCTTCAGGATGGCAGTACTGATAGGTAGTGGAACCTTTAAGAGGTGGAGCCTACTGGGAGGTCCTTACGTCACTGGGCTGTGGGGCAGTTCTCACAGAGGGCTATGATAAAGGGGCACACTTGGCCTACCCATCCTCTGTGCTCCTGGTTCAAAATGTAATTATCAAACAGGGCGTGGTAGCACACACCTATAATCCCAGCACTCAGGAGGCTGAGACAGGAGGATCACTGCAAGTTCAAGACCAGCACGGGCTACAAAGTGAGCTCAAGGCTAGTGTTGAACTTCATAGTGAGACCCTGTCTCAAAAAGGCCCCCCCCCCAAAAAAAAAAAGAAAAAGAAAAAGAAAACACATAACGAAAAGATAATTATCTACCTCCTTCTGCATACTGCCACCATTGGTGTGGTAAAGCAGACAAGGGATAAAGGGATGGACTTGCTACAGCCTGTGCTATAATATTTAGACTTTCAGCCTCCAAAATTGTGTGAAGAAACCTCTTTACTTTATAAAGGTAGCCTATTTCAGGTCATTGAGTATAGTAAGAAAAAGTCAGCTGGTGCAGTTGCATCTGCAAAATGGGCAGGCTCATCAAGCTCACTAGAGCAATGAAAGAGGGAACATGAGGAGGAGGCTTAGCCACATGGTGCAGTGAGCCAAAAGGTCTGGGCAAATCATTTTCCCTTAAAATGAAACAAGAGCTCTCAGCAGGGAAAGTGGGTTCATACAAAGAATGCCAGAAGGTTACTGTTAACAAGAATTTCCCAGAGCCCTGCACATATATGCACATACTTTGAAAAGGCTGCCAGTCCAGACTTTTCTGGAGCTGCCCTGCTCCTTGGTTGGGGCTGAGTGGGGAGAGCAGTCCTTGGGGATCAGAGCCTACACCTAGTACAGGCCCACAGCTAAGAGGGAGGCTCCCACCACAAGACCAGAGTGTACTCCCCAAGAACAGAGTGTACTCCACAAGCCCAGCAGCCACATTACCTGTGTTTGAGTACTGTGGCCTGTATCTAGTGTTCCCCCAAAGCCTCATATGTTTATAGCAGGGGTCTGTGGGAGGCAGCTGGGTGATGGTTGTGTGATATTGGATTTAGGGTGTATGCCACTGGGAGTAAGGGTGTGTGATACTAAATTAGTGCACTGATTGGAACTAGCGTAGTTCTGGATGCGCCTGAATGGATTTATTGATAACAGAAGCCTCACCGTGGGTATGGACGGCACCACACAAAAGGTTTGTAGCCTGTTTGGGATAAAAAGGAAAAGCAGGCTCGCTTCTGCTGCTGCCTCTTGCCTGCCCTGCCATGGACTGCTTCTCCTCTGACATTCCTCCGCCATGCCACCCTGCCTTGGAGCCAGCTGAATAGGGACTAAAACCTCTACCAACTGTCAGCTAAAATAAACCTTTCCTTGTTTAACTTGTGGGTGTTGGGTATTTTGTCCCAGCAATGAGGGCGTAACCCAGACAATGGATTTCGTGAAACGGTCCTAATTTCTGTTTGCCTCCTTTGCCTGATTACATAAGTCTACTTGCCCACCTGCAGCCTACCTACTCCCTAGACTCATGCTCCCTGACTCCCGTGTTATCAGGACACTGCATCACCACCAGGAATTCAGCTAAACCAAATCTTCTCTATGGTCAGAGCCACTCTCCCAAAGAGCGCGCTGAGGCTTTTATTTCCTAACTCTGTGGTCATAGAGGACAATTGCAGGGCACCTCCACTGTGCCTGACAAAACCCAAGCACTTTCCATGCCAAGTGTTTACACAGACAAGTCCCCACGCCCCCACCCCATGCCATGACCTCCCATGACCGCAGGGGTGGGCTGCCTGCCACAGATGCTGAACATGCATGCCTATACCTTTCATGTAGGCCTCAATCTTCCGGATGAGCTCGTAGGATTTGGAGCGGTCCAGCAGGGTCCTGATGGCAGGGAGAGGGTCCAGGACAATGGTTTCTGGGTGTGCGTCGATGTACTCCTGAAAGGAAAGCACACCACGGGTCAGACAGGAAGGGTGGGACTGACACAAGGAACAGACAAGATTTTATCCCTCAAGTCCTCCATGCATTCATGCCTGTCTTGTCCCTTCCCTTGTCATGTGACCTTGGTTAGACCAATCAGAGTATCCCCAGGCTGCTGCCTTAGGAGAGGAAATGTGACCCTGAGCCCATCCAAACACAACCAGGCTCAGGTACTGAAGGGAAGGGACTTCCCTTCAGGTCCCTTGCTAGGAATTCTGAGAGAATACTCTCAGTCTCACAGAAGAAGCATGGAGACTAGGTGCCTATAAGCAGTCCCCAGAGGAACTTAAGGGAAGGCCTAATTGAGGTGTAAGCTCAGAAAACAGAGCCAAGAACAGAAGAACAACCAGGTTCTAGCCAGGTTGCTTGTCCCCTGGATATAGCCTCACCTGAAACCAGTCTGCTCCAGGTGCTGATTACACTCTGGGAGTGCCCAGCACCCTGTGCTGATAAGGATTCTAAGGCAGGGCAAGGGGAAAAAGGAGAGAATGGTGGGATTGTGAGAAACTGTGGGGAGGTGTGATGGAGAACAGGAATCAACACCCAGGGACTTCCCTTCAGTACCTACCAGCTTCACGGTAGGCACAATGGAAATGCAAGAGAAACTGACACAGTCAGTTTCAGGAGAAACTGACATCAGTCTTAAAGGAATGTACCAGAGAACCATGTGAAGATACAGGTATTTCTGTCGCTCCATCCCGCACCCTCCACCCCACCCCTCGTCCCGCAATGTGCCCTCCTTGCCACCTGGCCCACACACTAGTCTGTGAGACCAGCAGGTGAGGAGAAAAGCACGCACAGCGCTCTTTTCTTGTAAACCTTATCAAAGAAAGAGAGACCTATTTGCAATTTTTTTTCAGGGAGCTGCTTTTGGTCCTAGTCATCATTTTAGGAGCACTTGGTGAGTGCCAGACATTCAGACCCACATCTTGCCTGGCATCTGTCTCCCCTGTATTCTACACCACAGCATCTGCTCTGAGTGTTCAGAAACTTCCCTCCCCACTAGGTGGTACCGGTGAGGGAAGGCCTTGCACTGGTCCCCACTCTGATGACTTCTTTGGGACTCACCTGCTGCCACCCCTCAGAGGATTCCCTCACTATCCATGTGTCGCGGACCTAAATGCAGATCACAAACCATGCTCACTGCTTCTTCCTCCCCCTTAGAGATGCGACCCTCAGCGGGTCACCTGGGCCACCAACCAGCTGCTTGTACAAAAGGGACCAGGCAACTGATGCGGAACATAAACAGAACGTCTGTGGGGGTGCCCTAGCGGCTTCCTGGGGAAGATTTATCTGGAGCTGCCCTTAGGCCATACTGTCATGCATAGGGCTTTGACCACAGCTTGGCCTGTGGGGGCTGCCCGCTACTGGTACCTATCTCTCCCGGCATCATCCCTTTATCAGCGCTTGTCACAGCTTGGATACATGTTCCCCAGAGGCACATGTGTTGAAGGCTCTGCTCCTAATGCAGCAGTGTTCCACGGTGGGGCTTCTGCATCATGGGGGAGGGTTCTGACTCCACCAATGGACGATGCTATCACTGGGTTCATAATTTGATGGACTGTTATTAGGAAGTGATAAAAACTTCATGGTGAGCCCTAACAGAAGGGAGTAGGTCCCTGAGGGCATATCCTTAGGGGCTGTATCTTGTCTCCTGGCCCTCTTTCCTCTGGCCACCATAAAGTCAGTAGCTTTCCTCTACCATGCCCTTTCACCACCATGTGCCACCTCACACAGGCTCAGCATCAATGGAGCCAAGTGGCCATGGACTGAAACCTGGGAAACCATGAGTTGAAATAAATCTTTCCTCCATTTAAAGTGTTTCTCTCAGGTATTTTATAAGCGTAACAGAAAGCTAACTGGTGTGCTCTTTGAGACCAGGCTCTCATTCCACAAGAGCCCTCATTAAAGAGAAACCCCCCACAATGCCTCACACGTACACGTACATGTATAAATCACACCACCATCCTAACGTCAGAAGACCAACCAGTCAAAAAACATCACACACACGCTGATGGTGCTGGGCATCACATGGGTGCAGATGAGTGAAAGCCTTTTACACTTTGCTCCACTAGCCACACCATCAGGTCCACACTCTGGGCCAGGAACTGAAAGCCTGCAGCTCCCCAACCCCCTCCCCCAACCAACCAAGAGCAGCATAGTGCAGCAGGGAGAGGATTCGCAATCAAGAGACCAAGGTTCCCAGGCTTGCCACTTCGTGTCACTTTTGGGCAAATCATTGGGCGTCTCTGATCCCTGATTCCTCATCTTCCACATGACAAGTTATGCGGATGACCTAAAAGGTCCTCGTAAGGATGACGTCAAGTCTGCCATTTAAAACCCGAGAAGCAGTACCTATGGAAGTGGCCTTTAGGGCTGCATGCGGACCACTTGCTAGAGGCACCACAGGGCCACACGTGGGCTGCTCTCCTTCACCAAGGGGATAATATCAGAGATGCTCACCCTGCTGGGACAGCCTCACTCTCCCTAGCAGCTGAGCCACTTACAGCACAGGCATTCACCGTCCTCCCCTCCAAAGACCCCCACCCCAGGCCCAACAGGTGCATCCTCCAGCTGCTGAGGAACACGGAGCTGACACTGGTTCCTGGGTATGCATGAGGGCAGTGACCTTTAAAGAGAGAACCCAGAATCAAGATGCGAATTTAAGCCAAACTCAGGAGGGAAAGAAGCCACATGAAATCAAAGGAGCAAAATATCTGACAAGCAGGCGCCAGCAAGCTTTGCATGTGGGATGCAAGCCTGGCACTAACAGAAGAATCGCTCCTAAACAGATCCCCCTCGGGAGGGAAGGAAGCAGGCAAAGAGTTTTTCCATTCTCCCTGCTATCCACAAGTGGATTTTCTTCCAAGCTTTTCAGCTTATCTATTGTATTGAAGGCCTCATGCATTTTTCACAAGTCTCTTAGAATTACCAAACAAATTATTGAAAGAAAGGCCCAAACTGTCTCCATGGCAAATAATAAACACATGTTCCCTGGAGGGCCTGCCCAGGAATACGCAGAGAGTACTCTTGGAAATTCACAGGGGGGCCTGGCTTCCTGTACAGTCCTGGGCCAGGATGGAGTGGTGAAGTCCAACCATTAGAGGGGACAAAGAGGCAGAGGCCAGTCAGGTGCCCACCAGATCATAAGCTCCCCCAGCCCTGTGGAATGAAGCTGGCACAGGTACCTGGACCTCTGTGGCGTTGGGGTCAAGGTGTTTTCATTGTGAACCTGAGCCAAATGAGAGGACCAAGAGGAATATGAGAGGTACTATATCCTCTGCAGTCCTTCCAGGCAGGGAGCAAGACACAAGAATGTGCTCTAAAGAATGCCATCAGAAGCCCCAGGTTCAAATCCCACCTCTCCCATATCCTCTTTGTCCAGAACAAGTCTCTGAGATTCTGAGTGCATTAACATGCATCCTAATAAGGCTGCCTGTACAGGGGACTGCTCTAGGCATCAAGGAGATCAGGAATAGGAAAGAACTTTGTAGAAACAAAAAACAATTCCTATGATTCTGGGACTTTTAAAGCTAAATCTGACACAAGGTCTCAGGACTCACCCTCTCCTGCCCTACCCAGCAGACTGAGGGGATGCCAGCCTTGTGCTTAGAACAGGGAACTCTGCTGATGCCTGGAGCATGGCATGGTCCTCCCATGGCAGCGCAGGCCCCAGGCAGTGCCACTCTAGGGACAGCTCTGGTCCCAGCAGAGGAGGCCACTACACCAAGAAAGGGGTCACTCTACTGTCCCAGGAGGCAGGAGAGGTACTCGCCTGGGGCACTCACCCTCCAGATTTTCAGAAGCCACTGGCCTGAGCTAACCTCCCCAAAACAGTAGGTACCTTTCTAGAAAGTGGTGATTCACTTCTTAGATTCACATGCAAGTAATTTACAGATTATGGTGTCTAGGGTTTGCTTCCAAATAAGGTGCCAGGCTTGAGGAGAAGCAGGTGCACGCAGGGGAACACAGGGTGGGTAGGAGTAGCTGGCGGCTGGCCCTCGCCTCAGGTCCTTCCATACTTTCTGCAACACACAGTTTGCAAAAAATAGCGAGGAGGTGACTAGATCTTCTTCCGCTCTATACCCCAAGTTGGGCCACAGCGACTCAAATACCAACACCATCATTCTAGAAGGCCTAGGAGGCATTTACCCACATGGGAGATAATGACAGAGTAATTATGGGAAAGTGGGAAAAATATCAAAAATTATCAATAATAATAAAACCTGCTGCCTTACCGAAGACTTGTTATACGCACACTGATGGATAAAATGGTTTTCAGGCACCACCTCTCTTAACAGAAAAAATCCTATGAGGTAAGAGCTAAAATTGTAAAACTCTCAGAAGAAAACAATGACAAAAATCTTTGCAACCTTAAACAATGGCTTTTGAGCTATGATACTAAAAGCACAAGCAGGAGAAGGGGCAAAAATGGCTAACTGGGCATTCTCAGAGTGGCAAATTCTATAGGTTGAAGGCCTGATGTCCCCAGTAAGAGCTTGTACATGGCCTCCCAGGCAGAGGTGCCTAGGCACTGCCAAGTGCTAGAGCCAGGAGGGACCCCTGGGCATAACCAGAAGCCCCGGCAGGTCTGGAAGCACCTCCACTCACCTGTGGGTCCCCCAACAGCAAGTGAGGACAGCAGGGTTTCTCTGCCTTTTTCTTAGGACCCTGAGACTCTGGGAGTTCTATCAGAGACAGGTTCCTGGCTGCAGCCTGTTCCATCTAATAGCTCACTCCCTTCACAGTGGCAAGCTCTACCCCACACACACACCCAGGGGCCAAGAGCCTGCCACCAGGCTGTGCGAGCCTGGGGCCCAGCGGGCTTGTGCGATCTACAACAGGACTGGGAAGCTCTGGCTTCATGGACAGCTTGGGAAATCTCTCTCTCAGCTAGGGGATGGGAGCAAAGGAACCTTACTTCCCTTCTCTGCAAGGTGAAGGAGAACGCTGTGAG